AATTTTGAAAGTTCCGGAATTTGGAACTGGTTCCGGAAAACCGAGATGATCCGTTGCGTTGGCAGGGACGTTGCAACTGCGTCGGATAAAAAATGATATCAATATCTCACGCTGGCCGGAAACGGAGCGGCCCACGTGGAAGCGGGGCGTAATGAGATAAAAAACGAGGCGGCAATGATAAGCGGGGGCGAGGCCGGTGAAATATTGATGCGTGCGTGGAGGCATAGCCGGCCGGCGCGGACCGGGCGCGGGCAGCCCGGTGAGTGATAGGTCATCGGGGAAATATCTGCGAGTAGTATTGGATCATCTCTCGTCAGGTTCCAATCAAGCTCGCGTGATGAAAAAGCCCGACGCCCTTTTTTCGGCCGGCCCATCTACCCGCCGCCCGCCGCCCCGTTAAATGATTAATAACGCTTAATAGAGCTTCCTCTTACTCCCATGGCCTTCTGACCGAACAAGAGCCAGGAATTTTTCTCTTCAGCTTCCTACGAAAACTTGGCTAATACGAACACGAGTTCTCCAGGTGAACTTGAAACAAAAAGAAGGAATGAGCCTGTTGCTGAATTTTGCTAGAGCAAAAATAAGAGTTGTTTCTATCGGTAAATGTCTCAAACATTACGATGAGCGCATTGACGAAGGCCTTGTTTCCACGGGCCGTTTCACGGGATTTGTCCCAGGGAAAAATCCCACTTACGAAGTTGGGAAAAATATTGAGTTAATCAATATTTTTCCCAGTACCAAGTATGGTCCTTTTACCCTTGGGACCCACTAAGAGAAAAAGAAGAAGTGTAAAGGAATTATGCAATATTTTGTTGAATACTCCATTGTTCATGTTTGTTTACTTACAATAATGTGTCTAATTGTCAATTGAGTGCATATTTTATTTTAATCCATGTTAAATGACTTAAACCAAGTTATCTTCCCGCGCAAACTAGTCGCAGGACTGTATGAGCCCCGTCCCGTGGAGACGGTAACTGGGAAAAATCTCAGAAGTTTCATTCCTGCGATTAGAACTTGGGACAAATCCCATGAAAACGTCCCGTGGAGACAAGGCCAAAGGTTAAAATTCAATCCTAACTTCACACTCTGAGTAGGAGATTTGAGTTATTTTGAGCTTCCCACTTCAAGAACGATACGCCACAGGTGAACATTTTGTTGGTGGGGGCATCCCATTCAACCCCTGCAGCCTGATTGTTGAAATTGTTTGTTTGTCGGGACGACATAGATGACATAGGTTAAAAGACGGAGCGTGATTGGTCGGCTATGTCTTATCGCTACTTTGTCGTGCCTTTGTCAGGTGAAATGAACGACATACTTTCGGGAACTTAAGAGGTGCCGTTAGCTTGTCGTGTGTTCAACCCGACATAGGCATGACAAAGCAGCGATAAGACATAGCCAACCAATCACGCTCCGCCTTTTAACCTGTATCATCTATGTCGTCCCGACAAACAAACAATTTCAACAATCAGGCTGCTGTGCACTAGTATTCTACAAAATATTCAACATGGCCGACACCAATCCGTCGAAAATCATAAGCCTGGACGAGATTCTGGCTTTTGGTTACAACCCAGCGTTTTTCCTTTCACGATTTCCTCGCGTTGATAAAGATTCGCTTTGGTTGACCTTGTGCTCCCGATTTCGATTCTTCTGTTGAAAAATGCAACTTTGGCCTGAGTAAGACCAAATGATTTACGAATCGTCTCGAGGCATCTGAAATACGGCTTGAGGTTCCTTTCGGCTGGATGCAATGAGTACTTAAGGTGATTCGATGGACGTCATCTTTTGTGTCAGAACGGCATGCGATATATCGCATCAATTGGTTCCATTTGTTCAGCTACTCGTCATTTTTCTCGAATTTTGAGATCCCAATTCTGTTGTCAGGAGACTGAAGCACTCACCTACCAATTTTAACAAAGGAATTCAACGTAATAAAGGCGTCGTTTTTTTAGGGGGAAAACATAGCATTCGATATTGATATCAAAATTGCACTCGAATGCGATATTTTCTCTCTAATAAAACCACGTCTTTACTACGTTGAATTTCTTTGTTAAAATTGGTAAGTGAGTGCTTTAGTCTCCTGACAACAGAATTGCGATCTCAAAATTGGAGAAAAATGACGAGTAGCTGAAAAAATATAACCAATTGATGCGATGTATCGCATGCCGTTCTGACACAAAATATGGCGTCCTACGAATCGCCTTAAGTCGAATAGAAGTTTCTCTCGACGAAGAGTTTCCTCTCCGGTAAATGAATCTCTAGAGAATGAGTGTGGCAACCTGTTTAAGACTGGAAACAATCCCCGCAACTCCCACCTTCGACGGGAATATTTTTTAATCCCTCGCCGCAGTTTCAGAAGCCAACCCTTCCGAAATGGGTTTTGAATCTCGGGTACCTTATTATATTTTACTTAAAATTAAAACTCCGCGAATCCCGGCGCTGGCTTTTTTCTCCTCCTCCCCGGCGATTAGAGTTTTTTGTCGGCCCCGCCGCCGCCGTGAAAAACGCGGCAAACGGCGAGTGTATGCTTGTCATATTAATGTCCTAATCGCCGAGGAGCTCTAAGACTCCCGGAATCTGAAGCCGCGGTCTCACTCGAAATCCACCTACCCCCCTTCTTATCGCTGAGCTGTGAGCACGCAAGATTCTCCGGGATAAAGAGGAGGATCACCGGGTGACTTCACCTCCGCTGCCGTGCCGTGCCACTGAAAAAAAAATCTCTGTGTATTTACTAAGAAAATGGTAAGATTACCAAGAATTCAGGGTCCTGTTGGATCCCAGTTTTTTATTGGTTAAATTACCATTTATGGAATCGGTAATTTTACCGTGAAATCTCGGTAAAATTATTGAACTGTCTCGGTAATTTTACTGGACCTCGGTAAAAACGCCAACATTTTTTATCGACTGTGGTAGAATTACCGAGATAAAATGGGAAAGTTACCGGGAATTGATTACCAATAAAAGTGGTATTCTTACCTGAAAAAACAGTAAAAATGTCGGTTTATAGGTAAGCTTACCAGTCTGTCTTGGTAAGATTACCAATAATTGGTAAAAAAAAAGTGAGATGGTGAAGGTACCAACGGACCTTGTAAACGTCGAAAATTTTTTTCAGTGTGGAAAAACGCCGTTTTATCACTTAGACGTTGCCGCGTTGCCTCGCAACAAGAGCGCTGATTATGGGGGATTTGTACGAACATTTTCCATTGGCAGTATTAGATACACTAGATACAATTGCTAGGAGGTTCTTTAAAAAAAATCAGACAGAAAAATTCAAAAAACTTAGCCACAAAATACGGATTGATGTTAGATAAAATTTGGCAATTTCCGAAAGCACATGTGCCGTTTTTCAAAAGCACGGCACTTTTCCCCGTCCTTTAAAAATATAATCGTTCGAGGTAAGAACGCGCTTAATGCAGTAAGTAACTTAAATCTCATGATCTCTGCCGCTTGTTCCAACATCACATCGACCTTCCCGGTACGGCAAACTTTTTAACGGAAAATAATATACGCACAAAAATATGTTGAGACATTATTAAATTGTTACGAAAAATTACAGAAGTGGTACTGTACATAAATGCTGCTTGTGATTGTTATTCTCATGAAATTCATGGCTCTTGTCTTAATGTACATAGTTTCACACATTAAAGGTGAACTTGTCTGTCTATGATAGAAAACTACAAAAACCCAACTACAAAAAAGTGTTTTGTTTCAACCATTATTTGAGTAGCAACTTGGCATCTGGACCGATCCAAGTTTTCTAATTATGAACCATACATGATTCCGTGTCGTGTCTCATTATGGCAATATAAAATATATAAATACATATCTATTTTATCCGTAGAGCTGCAGAATATTGTGTAAATAGGTACTTTCTACAATTTTCTGAAACACATTTTCACAAGTAATTTTCAAAGACCTTCCCTTCATTGTCCTCAGCTGAAATATATCCACCATTTTGTTGACTTGAGTAGCCGAAGGTTATTCCCGTTCCAGCCATAATATCACGAACTGCGAGGATGGCTAGCGATGGGAGGTTTGGATCTAAACAATTTACAAAGGCGGCATAAATTGCAGTGTTAGGTTCACAAGAGTGATTTATAAGATGAGACTCATTTCCATACATGGTTGCGTCAATTGTATCGGCGTTTCTAGTCGATGTTCTAGATCTCTAGATCGACTCTAGGAATCAGTTTGACTGTTCCCACGTACCCAGACAAGTGGCGATTGCGATCCTACATACAAGTCATTATCTACACGGTGGCCAGGACACCAAATCAGGTTCCCTGTGTTGCAGTAGAATTCCCGTAGCCTCGTAAGTCCTACAGAAATGATGACAACGGAATGCAATGGAATTCCTAATGACCTGGACGGTTCAATACAATATTATCACCGTCGGTGCTGTAAAAAGTTTACAAACTTGAGTGAATATGTTGATGAAACCACCGTATCAACATCACAGCATACGCCACGCAAAGGTGCCAGTAGCATATTGTTCCCGAAAAACGCTTGTATATACTTGTATGTATTTTTTCATTTTGTATGTATTTTTTTTTTTTGTGTGTTTTCTTTTGAGACTCCATCTTCTTCGGACAGCCCGTCCCTAACAGTTTTCTCCACCAAGGCGTCGGAACTGCTCTCATCCGTCGGTGTCGCGCGGCCGACCCCGAGGGGACGGCCGCCGGGCTTCGTCCGCCGGGAAAGCCCCCGGTCTCACCCGTTCGGAGTTTGAGAATAGGTCGAGACCGTTGCGGCCCCGAGAAGCCTCTAATCATTCGCTCTACCGGGGATGGGATTGCGAGCCGGCGCGGAACTCGTCGTACGGTCCGCGCTGATCGAGCGCCAGCTATCCTGAGGGAAATTTCGGAGGGAACCAGCTACTAGATGGTTCGATTGGTCTTTCGCCCCTATACCCAGCTCGGACGATCGATTTGCACGTCAGAACCGCTGCGGACCTCCGCCAGGGTTTCCCCTGGTTTCGTCCTGGCCGGGCATAGTTCACCATCTTTCGGGTCCTACCGTGCACGCTTCGAGAGCGCCTCGCTCGCCGCCCTGGGTGGCGGGTATCTGCTCGGCGCCCCGGGATTGCTGCAACGGGCCGCAGCTAGGACGGACACCGCCGGGGTACGCGCGGAGTTGCCCCCGTTTCCCCCGGCCCCGTTGTTTCGTCCCTTGCGCTGAGCGCTCACTTTCACAAAACGATCTCCCAAACTCTACCAAAAAGGGTTCTCCAGGCCATACGGACCCCAGGGAGATTGCCGCACAAGAGAGAGGAGACGACGACACCCAATCCGGCTCAATCCGAAACAACATCGGTTTCGCCTTTGTTGGCGCCCCTGCGCCCTGATATTATCGAACTTCGATACCTCTCCACCACCTATCGTCTTTTCTGCTAATTAGCGATTTTGGTTATCGAATTCCCCTATAGATCGTACCAGTGAACGAAGGCGCGTTTTGCATACATCAGGTCGAACTTGTGGTCAAGACGGGCCCAAGCTTCAGCAATGGCGGTGGTGTTGGACAACATGCACACGGCTCTCTGGACCTTGGCAAGATCTCCACCCGGAACAACGGTGGGTGGTTGGTAGTTGATACCAACCTTGAACCCAGTGGGACACCAGTCAACGAATTGGATGGTTCTCTTGGTCTTGATGGTTGCGATAGCAGCATTGACGTCTTTGGGCACAACATCTCCTCGGTACAGCATACAACAGGCCATGTATTTGCCGTGACGGGGGTCACACTTGACCATTTGGTTGGCAGGCTCAAAACAGGCATTGGTGATCTCAGCAATACACAGCTGTTCATGGTAAGCCTTTTCAGCAGAAATAACAGGGGCGTAGGTGACCAAAGGGAAATGGATACGTGGGTATGGGACCAGGTTAGTCTGGAACTCAGTCAAGTCAACATTAAGGGCACCATCGAATCGGAGGGAAGCTGTGATGGAGGAGACGATTTGACCAATGAGCCTGTTGAGGTTGGTGTTTGGAGGCCAGTGGCATATTGTTCCGAAATATTGTTCCGTTGTTGGCATATTGTGACGAAAGTGCACTTATAAGGATGTCCAACACGCCTCCGATTTTCACTTCCTGGCGACACTAAGACTCCAAGAGCCTCCACGGGAAACCCCTTGGTTTTGTTCCAGGTACCGGCGATGTAAGGAATCGGAGGGAAGCTGTGATAGAGGAGACGATTTGACCAATGAGCCTGTTGAGGTTGGTGTATGGAGGCCAGTGGCATATTGTTCCGAAATATTGTTCCGTTGTTGGCATATTGTGACGAAAGTGCACTTATGGAGATGTCCTACACGCCTCCGATTTTCACTTCCTGGCGACACTAAGACTCCAAGAGCCTCCACGGGAAACCCCTTGGTTTTGTTCCAGGCACCGGCGATGTAAGTGGTATCCACGCAAAGGGGCCAGTGGCATATTGTTCCCGAAAAATGCTTCTGTATTCGTGTATGTACTTAAAAAATTCTTGTTTGTATTTTAAAAATTCTTAGATGTATTGAAAAAGTTCTTGTATATAGCGTATTTTTTAATGTTCTTTATTGCATTGTTCAGCTGCACCTTTACGATCAGCCGTGCAGTGCCAATGGCGAGGGCGGACAGGACGAAAGTGCACTTATGGAGATGTCCAACACGCCTACGATTTTCACTTCCTGGCGACACTAAGACTCCAAGAACCTCCACGGGAAACCCCTTGGTTCTGTTCCAGGCACCGGCGATGTAAGTGGCACAACTCAAAACCCTCTCACAATTAAACTCTTTTCTTCTTGACCACTGACGGTAGAAGTACCTAAAGGTACGGCAATTAAGACGCGCATATTGTTCCCATCGAAAAATGCTTGTATATACTTGTATGTATTTTTTCATTTTGTATGTATTTTTTTTTTTTTATGTGTGTTTTTTTTGGACTCCATCTTATTCGGACAGCCCGTCCCTAACAGTTTTCCCCACCACGGCGTCGGACGATGGAGGTGACTTCGACAAAACGATCTTCCAACCTCTACCAAAAAGGGTTCTCCAGGCCATACAGACCCCAGGGAGATTGCCGCACAAGAGGGAAGAGACGACGACACCCACTCCGGCTCAATCCGAAACAACATCGGTTTCGCCTTCCTATTCCCCCACCGAATCTGCTGACGACGACGGTGTAAACCGCCGGGTTTCGAATAACGTTTATCCTTGACGAAGCACATACTATCCCTAGTTGGGGATTAGAGTTTCGTGAGGGACTGATCAGGGTTGCCCACACTATCCGGTCTATCCCTGGTGCGCAGCTCGTCCTCGCCTCCGCCTCCATTTCCCACGGCGACGTGGGTTTTATAGAACGGTGTTATGGTATCCAAATGGACACAACAATTTCTGAACTGTACATTCGCGGCAATGTCACCTATACAATAGTAGAGGTCTCCACGCTTCCGGGTGGAAAGAAGAGCGTTCCCAAATTTCTATCTTCCTTCCCGGACGTTATTAACTTCATAAACGAGAGATTCCCCAATGGCAGCGTGATCCTCTTCAGCGAGAACAAGAAGAGAGTCAACGAATTGGCGGCAGGTCTCAATGGAGCGGGTATGCCGGCCGTCCGCTTCCATAGCGACTTGTCGCCAAATTTGAGGGCGGCGTGCCTCGACTCTTGGTCCGCTGGAGAGGTTCGCGTTATGGTTGCAACATCAGCCATCTCTCTTGGAGTTGATAACGCTCATTGCATCGGAACAGTGCATTTCGGCCACCCGTCAACAGTCTACAATTTCATCCAGGAAAGTGGTCGTGTAGGTAGAAGGGGTCAACCCTCCCACTGTGTTGTCCTCACCGACAAATCGGCCACCTACAATCTAATGTGCTCGCGCATCGAGAGGCGACAAAAGGTATCCTGTTCATTTGTAGCTTGTCGTCGATAAAATTGTCGGGTGTTCGTATATGAAAATTGTCGATGACTGTCTGCAAAACATCTACCGATGATTCAGAAGGGGATATTGTCATTTCCGACTACGGGATCTCTTCCCTTGCCTTACCTTACCGTACCTTACCTTACCTTATCTTACCTTTCCTGTACATATATGCTGCTTGTGATTGCTCCGTAGGTATTCTGAAGTTTTATTTGTTTTACTGCTCCGTAGATATTCTGAAGTTTTATTTGTTTTCAGATATCATGAGCAACGTGAAAATATGAGCTTTCCCTGTGTTGCAGTAGAATTCCCTTGGCCTTGCAAGTTCTTCAGAAATGATTACAACGGAACGCAATGGAATTCCGAACGACCGTCAGCTGGCGGTCGGTCCTCCGATACGTGAGTCGTAATAGTAAATGTACGTTTTATTCTGTTGCAGATCACGAACGTGGCGAGATCGATCCGGAGGTCGGAGGCCAACCGGCGGCTAAGGGTGGCGGTCTCGCCCGCCTGCCTGAACGGGGTCAGCGGAGAGCATTTCTTAGGCCAGACGAAGAGGCTGATGAGGGCCATGCTGACGTCCGGGGACCGGTGTATCCTCCATCTAAGCGTAGAAGGGTAAGTTCTTATGGGAATCCTTTAATTCCTCCTAGGTATATTCTCCCGGGTGAGTGACGAGGACGTTACACAAGACTGAACGGAGGGGCGGTGGTACATTACTGTTGGCGGGAGAGTGATTGTCGGGGAAGAGAAAATCGGGGCCCCGGCCCCGGTGGAGAAGTTCGGGTGGCGGGGAGGATAGATTCGGATCGGATGGGAATTGAAGGATTGGAGGCATGGCTTCTCTTCTTTGACATGATCTTCGTATGGCGTTAATGTTAATGGACGATGGCGACTCGAGGATCATTTATACGAACGAACCTGACGTAACTCGGGGAAGCATGTATCCTTGTGGAATGAGATGTTTCCTTTACCGAAGTAGATGGAACCTCGAAGAGGGTGTCCTTTCGATGATGGTGTCATGTTCGTCGACACGTAAGAAGGTTTGTAAGTTATGAAGTTGTTAAGGAAGTACACTGAGAAAAAACTATGGCTTATAAACCTATTAGAGGTAAATATGGAACACCACTAATAGTAGTACCTCTACATATAATAATAGCACATATACCTTAGTTATGGTCTCTGTACCTTAATTAGGTACAGAGACCTTAGTATGGTTCACAGACCGAGAATCATTAGTTTATTTACGACTATTATAGGTGTTCCATATTTACCACTAATAGGTTTATAAACCATAGCTTTTTCTCAGTGTAAGCAGCAGGAAGTGACGGATCGCTGGCGGTCAAATTAAACATTTTCGCACCGTGTTCTGTTTCAGACGAGCGAGAGACGTGATCCCCGTAACGACAACTCCATCGGCCGACGGCCGACGTTCGTGTATGTAATGTATTTTTAAATGTTCTTTATTGCATTTTTAGCAAAGAACGAAAATGGGTTCCAGGTAGAGGTGAACGCGAATATCCTACACAGCGCGTCAGCGAGACCGCAGCTAAATCAAGTTTGACCGCTGCCGAAAATATAAGAGACGAAAAGCTACTCCGACAAATTCGTGGCGTTGACTTCGTGGCACATGAGGTTCGCTGTCATAATGAGTGCCGAAAAGAATACACTAAAAATCCTGATCGAGAAAGTCCAACGGCTCGAAGCTCACGCTGCCGCAGTTCAGTATGCTTGCGATCACATTAATGAAAGCAAAATTAACAACGGTAATGCCGAGCGCACATCGATGCTTCGCGAAAAATACCTCTCACACATGCTCGAAAAATATCCCTCGTTCCATGATAATAAGACAAATGAATCGAAGAAAACCTAAAAAGTCATTTTGGTGATTCATTGTTGGCTGGATTATATGGCTCTCAGTAAAATAAACACTAGATTCCATGTTATGACAAATGCCACCAGGAACAGACACTCGCTAAGGCGCGGCCAAATATTAATTGAAAAGCTCCCCTCAGCCCTAAAAAGCAAAACCAGGGACTCGAATTTTCTGAATGTGTTAAAAAATGTCTTTATTGCCGAATGTTTCTATAGTGAAGCCGAGTGTTTAGCATAAGCCCTTTTTTAAAAAAATCTGTATTCTCTTTTCCTTTCGTTTCTTTTTTTTCTTATATCCTCACTAACACTGACATATTTGTTCTCGCTGTTGAAAAGTGTGCAGTTACAAATAAAAATATATTATTATTATTATCGTTTTAGCAGCCAAACTACCGCAGTGAATTAATGTATCCGACGGATATTCCGTGTCGAGCAGCTCGGAGTTTGCTTTTGAGTCGGCGTTTGAGTTTGGCAGAGATTCCTGCTTGGCCCGGAAGGCTAGGCTTGACAAAAATTCTTGCCGAAAGTCCATCGGCCATCGTCCAGTTTTGTTTTGGTCTTTCGGTGCAGACTCGTTCATCTCGATGAGCGGCCGACTTACTTCATTTTTCGCTCGTTTCCGCACCGGCACAGCATCCTGCAAAAGAGTCTACTGCTTCGGAGCAGCGGAGACTTGAGGAGGCTGCGTTGATTCTGCGGCGCGACATTATGCACTCATATACGAAAATTCGCCGCAAATTCTCTCCCCAAAAAAACAAGACATAACCAAGAAATTTTGTTTCTTCCTTGAAAAGAGAAACGACAGTACACTGTTTATGATGATTTTCATAAAAATAAAACAAAAGTGTTATTTTGAATTTCTGAACTCGCCCTACGATCTATGGAGTAGCAATTTTCCTCCTGTCCTTTTGCCTTTATTTTGCGACATTTTGGATGGGTATATTATATGTGTCGAGAAGAGATGCCTCAAAGTGCCTTTAATCCCTAAATTCACTTTCATTCTCACAAAAAAGTATCTTTCTCTTTAAATGGAGCGTGTTCTCTGAGCAGCGCCGCACTTGGTGAAAACACGCAACTCTTGCCTGGATTCACCCATTTCACCTTCTTTAATTTGTCTTTTATTCATTGTTCAGCTGCACCTTTACGATCAGCCGTGCAGTGCGAATGGCGAGGGCGGACAGGACGAAATAAGTGCACTTTCGGAGATGTCGAACACGCCTCCGATTGAATCCCGTTCAATGAAGTCACCATCTTCAAAGTTAGTCTACCGCTTCGGAGTAGCG